CAGGTGAAACTCTGTCACGTTTCGAGCTAAATAGCTCGTTTGTTCGAGAATCAAAACATCAACTAGAAGCAGATTTCATTTTGGGTCAGAAAATCCAGATTTAAGGATAAATGTAGGAATAACTTTTCGACCATTTTTCGGTGTTTTGTAGCTAATTCTCAAACAAAGTGTCTTAGCGCCTTTCTTGGTCATGTGGCATTGGGTTTTGGTAATGGATTCATGATAACCGTCACGAATATAGAGATATTTAGTGACCACTTAGTGTACTATGAGAACGTTGATGTAATTGTTGTAGTTACTGTAGTTGGAATAGTTAGTGTAGTTGGTGTAGTTAGCGTAGTTCCTGTAGTTGGTGTAGTAGCTGTAGTTAGTGTGGTTGGTGTAGTAGCTGTAGTTGGTGTAGTTGGTGTAGTTAGTGTAGTTGCTGTAGTTGGTGTAGTAGCTGTAGTTAATGTACTAGCTGTAGTTGCTGTAGTTGCTGTAGCAGCTGTAGTTGGTGAAGTTGGAGTAGTTGCTGTAGCAGCTGTAGTTGGTGAAGTTGGAGTAGTTGCTGTAGTTGATGTAGTTGATGTAGTTGCTGTAGTTGCTGCAGTTGGTGTAGTTGGTGTAGTTAGCGTAGTTGGTGTAGTTGGTGTAGTTGATGTAGTTGCTGTAGTAGCTGTAGTTGGTGTAGTAACTGTAGTTGGTGTAGTTAGTGTAGTAGCTGTAGTTAGTGTAGTTGCTGTAGTAGCTGTAGTTGGTGTAGTTGGTGTAGTTAATGTAGTTGCTGTAGTTGCTGTAGTTGCTATAGCTGGTGTAGTAGCTGTAGTTGCTGTAGTTGCTGTAGTTGCTGTAGTTGCTGTAGCTAGTGTACTTGGTGTAGTTGGTGTAGTTGCTGTAGTTAGTGTAGTGCTGTAGTTAGTGTAGTTGGTGTAGTTAGTGTAGTTGCTGTAGTCGGTGTAGTTGATGTAGTTAGTGTAGTTGGTGTAGTTACTGTAGTTGCTGTGGTTGCTGTACTTGGTGTAGTAACTGTACTTGGTGTAGTCGCTGTAATTAGTGTAGTTGGTGTAGTTGGTATAGTAGCTGTAGTTGGTGTACTTAGTGTAGTTGGTGTAGTTGGTGTAGTTGGTGTAGTAGCTGTAGTTAGTGTAGTAAGTCTAGTCGGTGTAGTTAGTGTAGTTTCTGTAGTTAGTGTAGTTGCTGTAGTTGCTGTAGTTGCTGTAGTAGCTGTAGTTGGTGTAGTTAGTGTAGTTGCTGTAGTTGGTGTAGTATTTGTAGTTGCTGTAGTTGCTGTAGTTGCTGTAGTAGCTGTAGTTGCTGTAGTTGCTGTAGTTGCTGTAGTAGCTGTAGTTGGTGTAGTTAGTGTAGTTGCTGTAGTTGGTGTAGTAGCTTTAGTTGGTGTAGTTGCTGTAGTTGCTGTAGTTGCTGTAGTAGCTGTTTTTGGTGTAGTTAGTGTAGTTGCTGTAGTTGCTGTAGTAGCTGTTTTTGCTGTAGTTGGTGTAGTAGCTGTAGTTGGTGTAGTAGCTGTAGTTGGCGTAGTTGCTGTAGTTAGTGTAGTTGCTGTAGTTGGTGTAGTAGCTGTAGTTAGTGTAGTTGCTGTACTTGCACGCGTGGTCTTAGGCACAATTGGATGCCCCATCTTTCTTTCTATGTCGTGGAGCATTTTGTGTTTCCAGGCAACAGAGACTTTGCTGCCGATGACCAGAGCTCATGTTGTATTCGTGAAGGGCCTGATGTGTGTATTGATCGTCTGTGAAATAATGTTTACGATCGGCGAATCACGAGCAATTTCCTTTGCAAATGACACAGAACAGCAAACACAAAAATTGGCTGGAAATCCTCGCCGGCGAAGATTTTCCACCGAAACTCCTCTAGAGAACGCCGACTAAAATTGGGCGATCCCACACCTGTTTGAAAGATTTTTTTGATTATCTGGGAAAACAATAGGGATTGTCACATACCAATGCCCCTATCCCTGAAAACGATAGAAGTGCAGATTAAAGGGGACCAGTGAAATAAGAGGTTTAGAACGGTACAGGACTACTGTTAAAACTCATCGCTAGCGGAGAAGACGACGACAACAAGAAACCACGAAGCAGAGAGAACATCGCCTCGCACAGCAAAGGCAACGTCGTTAACCGGCAGCGACCACAAATATGTACACCCGTGCAAAAATTTAACCGAGATCTCGGCGAGATTCTCTCGCAGGATTTTGGCCGCCGAGATTTTTGGATCTCGGCGAGAATCTCGGCGGCCAAAATCCTGCCGAGAATCTCGCCGAGATTCCTAAATTTCCGGATTTACGTGTTTCCACACTTCCCCTTTACGTGTCAACGTACACCTTGTAGACGCGGTTGACGCGGTTTTACCTCTGGACAGTTGTTTTACCGAGCTATTCAGCTAGAAACGTGACACAGTTTCACCTGTTTTGAACTTTCGGGTTGTTAGCAAGGGATTCAAATATGGCCGCATACCAGCAGTTTCTAAAGCACTTTTACTGGAATTTTATGGAGTCCGGCATCTCAGGGATTATAATATGGCTCAATTTGTGAGTCAGTGCCAGTAATGAATTAGGTAAGACGTACTTTTGACAAAATCTGCTTGAGATAGATCCGTTACGCTAGAGCTGAAAATATCGCATTAGCTCGCATATGCGTTGATACGAACGGCCATAACTTTTAAAATACCGAAATCGTACATGGGTTTTTATACATTCTTAACAATAGATGATCTATCTTTTCGTCTGTTTAGTCAAGAGCTTTCAATAAGGTCCCAAACTTCAGAAATAAGCGTTTAAACCCGGATCATTTTTAGCCTTTCGCTCCAAGGCAAATAGTTTGGGTCACATTTTGCTTGATTTCGTCTTTTGTGTATGAGATAAATCGGTTGTTTACCATTTACCAAAATTTTCCGGAAAGTCCAGTTGGAAAGTAAGTGGAACACGACTTTTTGAGTCATTCCAGCGGAAAATTTTCGGGAGCAACGGAACATCTGTTTTTCCGCAAGGAATATTCCAATCAGAAATTCGTTTTCAACCTCTTCAGTCATCTTTGACACCGGTTTCAGGCATTCGCGGTCGTTTTTCGGTAAATCAACGCATTTCTACAAATGGTAAACGCGATTCCGAGGCGAAATTTACCAGTCCTGAATTTTGAGTGCCAATTGCCCAGACCGTGGACCCACCGGTTTGCCCATGTAAATTGTACACAACCATCAACTTGATCTAACTAGCCCAAGGGTTTTAAAAATAACTGTCACGCACGCAGTTTGTACGTTTGTTTACGAGTTCACATTGCTCAATAAGATTTTAAGAAATCGCCTCCTTTCCGAACACATTCAAATTATGTAGTAATAGGCTAACATCAATTAGCTTTAATAAAATTATCAAAGTGCCGAAATACTTTATATGTGGCCACTCATCCCATTTCATTTTCCTCATTGAAACAATCCCCTATTTATCTCATGCACGATCACGGAATTTTGCGTCATTGCGGGACACCTTTGGCTTTGACAACAGAGGGAAAAAATATTGTCAAACTCTTGGCTATAAGGCAAACCCGTCAATTCCACAGTGTGATTTTCAATGTTTAACACTACCAACGATTCAAAAATATTGATTACTTCTAAACCTCAAACAACACATAAAGCAATTACGAATTTGGATTTAACACTTCCAAATTTCTGAAAAAAAACCGGGCGTAAAAAATACGGTAAGCTTCAGATTATCGTAAAAGTGGAATGAAGTACCCTGATAGCAGAACTTTGTTTCCGGCATGCTTTTTACCTTGTACGAGCCGTTCGCGTGGAAGACATTCGCGTCGCTTGGCTTGTTTAGGTTCGCATTATTGCGTGCCTACCACAACTTTGAATCAAAACGAACGAACTCGATTACTTTATTTGGGCGACGCCAAAATAAGAAACCATTTTTGAGCTACGCACGTCGACCGGAACTGAAAGCTTTTCCCTTAAAAATTTAAACGTTCAAATCACCATCTTCTCCTTTTATGCTACAATCTCGTCTCCGCGATCTAACGGGGCAAAGATAAGAAACTACAAACCCAAAGGAGAGCAAAAAATTACTTTTCTTTCTTCCACAGATAAACTAAACAACTCGAGCTGATATCGAGATATCTCGAACAACTTACGGCCTCACTTCGGAAACAAACTGCAAGTTTACGACATTCTTTATCGTCGCAAATCCTTTAATACTTTGCGCTCCGCCTCAAATATTTATTGTAGCCGAAAGAACTAAAAGTGATCTCGTGATATCTGCAACTCATTCCGGTGTCACTACGTCAGTCAAATACCCACAATAAGCCGAAAAGTAACAAAGTTGCATGCCGAAACTTTTCCCCCTACCTTGTGAATAACTTATGGCTATTTTTTAGATTTCAAATTACCATGCGTCGCAGTGGCGCAATGTGCTAATCCCTCAATTTAGAGTATTATCCGATCTGACGGGTCACACGTACGTAAGCCGGTTCAGACTCTAGGAAAACCAGAAATAATAACTATTTCTTCTTTATTTTTTTCTGAAGTATATTTCTTTCTCATAATTATTTCTTTCCCCTGAAAGAATAATTCAAAGAACTGGAAGATATCTCGACCTAATTACGAAGCAACTTCGGGACATTCGGAAGCAATTTTGGGACCTCCGGATGCAACTTTGAAACATTCCTGAGTAGCGCGAATCCTTTACTTCGCGCTCCGCCGAAGTAAAAATGCGGAAACGTTGCTTAACTCGAGTGTGTACTGCTTTGGGAATTCGACGAGGAACCCCAGAAAAAGTGGATGGCTTAAAGCAAATCAGATTAGCGTCAAGAAGTATTTTAAGTCGTGGTGCTATTTTCTAAACTAATTTAGCTTTTTGTATGTTTTAGGGTGCCAAATCTTTGCCCCCCCTGTGCGAGATAAATTTTCCCACCCTGACATTAAAGGTTAACCCGCTCGATGTTATCAGCTGGTTCCGCAATGGCAGTACGGACGAGGGAGCCAAGGCACGGGCAGCACCCAATGGTTCAATGCTGAACGGCAATCGGGTGGTGCCTGACTCTGCTACTGATGGTGATATCGACCTGCCTGGTCCTGGTACAGCCAGTGAAGGCGTTCAGAACATGTCAAGTGAACAGACAGCTCCTACAATCACTAACCCTGCCAATGGGTCCAGCATGCGATCGTTTCCATCGGGAATCCTGGGTTCGGGTAACGGTCCATTTGGGCTTCTCGACGGAAATTCCTTAAGCCGTGGCCTAGACGATTTTGCGAGGCGGGTTAACAGAGAAACGCAGATGAACGAATCACCTTTCCAATATCTCAATCCCTTCCAGCAAATCCTTGGAGGAAATTCTTCCCAGCCCCCCAGCATGCGGTCGTTTCCAGCGGGAAACCTGGGTTCGGGTGACGATCTACTTGGACTTCTGGACGGAAATTCCTTAAGCCGTGGCCTAGACGATTTTACAAGGCGGGTTAACAGAGGAACGCAGATGAACGAATCACCTTTCCAATATCTCAATCCCTTCCAGTAAATCCTTGGACGAAATTCTTCCCAACCTCCCAGCATGCGGTCGTTTCCAGCGGGAAACCTGGGTTCGGGTGACGGTCTATTTGGACTTCTGGACGAAAATTTCTTAAGCCGTGGCCTAGGAACACAGATGAACGAATCACCTTTCCGATATTTTCCGTACAACTTTAACAAACTATTCGAATGAGGTAACGCCCTTAAACAAACAGTACAAGATAACAATTAGTTTTTACCAAGGGGCAAGTGATTACAAGACTTTTTGCAAAATTTTGTTGCAAAATTTTCAAATTTGAAAGGGCAAAACAACTGTCTCTCGTCCTTTTAGCAATCAATCAACTTCTCTTTTTAACGGTTCTAAAGCATCTGGCTAATAACTTAATCTTGATAAAATTGTCTCTCAAAAGAGAAAAGAACTTTGTGAAATTACATTTGGAAATTAAGTATTATTTCAAAGGAAAGAAAATTACTTTTCATTCTCGATTTTTTCTTCAAGTCTTTCAAAAATTCTGCTTTCGCATTTATCAGGATTATGTACTGTTTCCTTGAATGGCTTTGTGAACTTCTCGTGGGCTCGTCAATAGTCTGAAGCAACCTGATCGGCATCTTAGGTAAAAAGAAAAAAAGACTGATTTCAAGAATTAAAGAGAAACCGAAAATATCCGCAGAAATACATAAGACGTAAAATACAGCTATTTCGAGAAAGGTTGTCGGAAAAAGTGCACGCGACAATCCCGAAAGGTATTGTGGGTAGTTTTGAGTTCACTGTTCTTCAAAGAAATTTGAAAGAATGGCACGAGAGGCCATGGTCATGTGTTTGCGAGTGGTAAAGGAAAGTAGCAAAAGTATATTCGACAGCTACAGTGTCGGGAACAGTGTATTGCTCATATCCCATATTACCTTTCGGGATTGTCGCGTGCACATTTTTTCCGACAACCTTTCTCGAAATAGCTGTATACTCATAGATCCGTGACTAGCAAAGTCTGTCCGGTTACGACAACACAAAGAGTCTTGTAATAACTACTTACTTCCTTCGTTAAGATAACCCTAGAAAAAGTTATAATGTCTAATAAACACTAAAACATTAAACAAAGTATATATAAACAGGGTCGTCCCTATTTGAAATACTGATTACTGACCTAACACCTTTTTGCCGCGATTCTAGCTTAGGGAATGAAAATTCATTCATTCTCTCAACAATAACAACAACAGTTGATTCATTTATCAAATAATTAAAGACTATGTTACCCACATTTAGCGGAGCTATTCTAGGTGGGCAACAATAAGTAAATAAGTAAGTAACAACTTTATTTAATGCGGGTAGCACATGAGGTAAAAACTTATGAACTAGTGGCCCTCAATACAATAATTGTCTCCTATAAAGTCGGCAAAAGAATGTAAGTAAACAGAAAGCAAAAAGTAAAATGAATAAGTAAATAAATAAAAGGTAACACCTATAGATATAAGGAAGGGAAGAACTTTAACTGACTAAGGAGTTCAGTTAGGAACTGGTGATTGTTCTCATAGCAACATACACCTTCTTAGTCTCCAAAACCTTGATCAATAATTTATGCAATTATAATAATTTACGCTTGAAAGGGTCTTTGCACTGTTCACGTAACATAAGAGGAGTTTTGTTCCAAATTCTTACACCACTTCTAGAAAAAGATAATACTAGCTGATTGAGTCTAGATCTCTGGACGTAAAAATTACTTGGGGCAGAAAATCTGGTATAATGAGAGTGGATCATGTTGGAACGGACGAACAATTCAGAAATTCTAGAAGGAGCCCGTTTATTGGAGATATCGTGCATTAGGATATCCGAATATTTAAAGTACAGCATATTCAGAGGCAAAGCAGCAGACCTGACGAACAGAGGAATAGCCTGAGCTCTGCTGTCGGAAAAGTACATTAACCGTAGAGCTCGTTTTTGCAATGTTAGAATTTTTGTTCAGATTTGAATTGGTAGCTTGTCCCCATGCAGTTAGTCCATAGGAAATGTATGGTTCGATTAAGGATCGATAAGAGGGTATTGGTAGGCACATAATGCCTAAGCCTGGCAATGATGCCTACCCCTTTGCTTATTTTTGACGAAATATAGTCTGTGTGGTACCTCCATGAGAGGTGACTATCAATCAAAACACCGAGGTATTTCACAGAATGTTTTTGTTTACGAGAAGTCAATATCTTTAAGTCATTGTCATACATTTTTAAGGTTACGTTGTAATCAGGCTTGCGTTGAAAGGGATGATAAATGACAAAATTAGACTTGCTTGTGTTTAGTGATAATTTGTTTGTTTTAAGCCATTCGCAGACTTTCATTAGTTCTTCATTAACAACAGATTCGATCAAGAGAATTCAAATTATTGTTTGCTTATAATGTAATTCTATCGTCAGCAAATAAATAGAAGTTGTAGTTTCGAGGAAACACGGTAAATGTCATTAATATAGATTAGTAAAAGCAACGGCCCTAGCACGGACCCTTAAGGAACACCAAATAATATTTTCCCTTTGCTAGAGATCCTAACTTAAACTTGAGTAGTCTGGGTCCTATTAGTCAAATACGACACGAACCAATCATTGATAATTCCAAGTATATCGTATTTACTCAATTTGCATAGTAGTATAGTATGGTCAACTTTGTCAAAGGCTTTTTTTAGATCAATAAATACGCCGCACGAGTACAAACCTACCTCCGTATTACTTTGTATTCTGTTGACAATATCCAAAATTGCGGGTTGAGTAGAACAGTTTTCTCGGAAACCATACTGTGCATTATAAAGAATTTTTTTTTTCGATAAAGGATGAGAGGCGTTTATGCATCAGTCTTTCGAACAACCGATTGAAGACATATAGTAATGAAATTGGCCGATAATTACCTGGTTGAGTTCCGTCACCTGTCTTATAGACTGGAATGACTTTTGCACATTTTAACTTGGAAGGATAAACACTGGTTTGAACCACAGGGCGCAGAGGAGTTATTTATGACGACAAATGAAGCGAAAATTTTACTGCCGAATGAACGACTCGCCTCTGATTACTGTAGAATCTATTATGGACTTGACCTTTCAAAGGAGTCATGCGATCGAGGATATCGGTTACTTCAAATTAACGTGTTAATGCCCTCCCAAGTTTTTTTCATGTTATTTAGGTTAGCTTCAATTAAAGAAGGCCTGATAGTAGAGCTTCTTACTAAGACGAGTCAAGCTTGGGATTTTGTTTCTATACTGTTTGTATTTCGCCGTGTCCCTAGATCTGAATAACGAATTCTTAACTTTAACTGATTTTCGCGAAACGACTTGTAATCCACGGTTTTGCAAATTGCTTAGCTTGTTGTCTCGAGATTTATTGGCTTATTTAATTTATTGTAAAACTGAGCAAAGGACTCATCAACTGAACTACTAGTTTCCCAATCAATTTGCAGGAGCTCCCTGTTAAAAGCATCTTGTGCAAAACGTGGATATTCTCGTGGATATTCTTACGTTTTATGAGATGTGTGTTCTCCCTAGGGGAGTGAGACAGCGCGAACTGGGAATAGTGGTCGCTGATGTCCGTCAATCCTATTAACAAATATGTGTTGTCGATTAGCGTTGCCGAGTTGTTATAAACTCTAGTGGGCTTATCGACTGTTGTGAAAAACGTTTAAGTTTAGCGAATCTGTGCTTGTTATTTTTGTTTCAGTGACTCCAATTACACTAAAATTAAAATCGAGCTCATCTAGTAGGTGTACTTGAAGATATTCTCGGTTACGCGTCAGGCTTGTAAGTAGAGAAAAGCAATCCTGATCATTATGCGCGGTATTTTTAAACTTTGAGAAGCTATGAGGTGAAAAGTACTGGCAGCGGGCTGACTGATTGCCAAGGTTACAATCAGGGTCTCGCCCCATGTAAGGGAATCCGGATTCCGGAATCCAGGAATTTTTTGCCTGTACTACAACGTTCTACATCTGCGCCTGTTCTACAGCTTACTGTACATGTGTCTCTATAAATTAATCGACTGCTAATCGCTAACCAGCTCCGAGATCCTCAATCCTTAATTATATAGAGATTTGGATTAGATTAATTGAAGGACAAAATTTAAAATTGCGATGTTGGTGTGTCGCCACGTTTTTTTGCGGTGATGCGGTGTTTGTTATTTTCAGTTTCCGCGGTGTTGCGGTGCGGACAGTCCCCCAATGCCCCCCTCCTTATTATACTAAAACCCTTACGGAACTGTAATACATTCAACCCGTAATTTATAAATCGAAAAAGAAAGCAAACTTGTTATGCATACTAACAACGTCTTTCAATTTCGCAAGATTCGAACACGAAAACGAAATGCAAAGAAAAGCACTAAAACAGTAAAAATTGGAATCCAGCCCTTTTTGGAATCCGGAATCCACTGTGCTGGAATCCGGAATCCAGTACCTGGAATCCGGAATCCACAGCGTGGAATCCAGAATCCAAGAATGTCCTGGATTCCCTTACATGGGGCGAGGAGTTAGATAAGAGTCTGAGATAAGAGTCTGTATTTAAACAAAACAGATCCAAATTATAAATACTAGAAAGTTTCTCACGATGCTTTTTTGTTGGCAATTGGCTCTCTAAGCTGTTATTGAACTGACCGTGATGGGTTCGAACAATATCGACATTAAGATAAGGTAACTCTAAAATGGTACGGTTGTAATTCTTATACACGATTGATCGTACTTGTCAGCCAGTCTTTGTAGGTCGACCATGCCTTTGATCTTGATCGGTCTAGCTGTCGCATCCTTTCTCAAGTAGACCACGGAGTTCTCGGCCCAACAGTACTGGTAATGATGCTAGTTTTTAAATTTCTTCGCTTCACAGAGGATCGATTGTATCTTTGGCGTTAAATGATCAAAAATTCTGACCTCAGACAGGAAAGCTTGATCAGGAAGACCAATAGCAGAAGGGTTCACGGTGCTGCCTGCATCTTCTCGACATTCCATAACACGTTCCTTTGCGAGACGCTATTCCGCCACAAAATGTAATAGTAACGCAAAAT